AGACCAGGATCACAGGTCTCTCTGCTCAGCCATTATCTTTAGAGGTTTGTCCCTCAGATGGGAATACACATTACTCTTTTCAGAAGCTAATGAAAGTGCTGTAATGCAAAAATTAACAAAACCTTTGCGATTATGAACGTAAGTTTTATGGCTAGAGACTCAAATCTGGAAGCGTTGAGCAAGTAATAAAGTAGCTGCCATGCCAGTGACAAACACTGAGAAAATGGAAAAGAAAATGAAATCCCATGGAATTAGAAATAGTTAGTGGCAATTTATATATAAGAATAACCATTAAAACCAATAAAGATAAGTAGAACTAATACAAAATCAGTTGTCATAAAAATACTAGGCCCCAGGCCAATATAAACTACAGATAATAAAAACCTCAATGCAATAATTTCAATGGTAAATCTAATTGCATAATTGCTGGAATTGGACATAGATGATTCCTATATTGAATATTATTTCAGGATAGCTAGGAAAACAACTTCTTAAACTATGCCTAACTTGCAGTATATAAAATCCCCGCCATGAGAACTGTAGGCATAGGAGCCACTGAGAAAAGAAAAGGTAAATTGACCAGGAACATGTTAAGAGTTGAAGGAGAGAACAAATGTGTCATGGAGAAAATCACTTTGTTCATGTTAAAATAATAAAAACAAATTTACTATTACTGCCTCCAGACATGTTTGGTTATAGTGGGAGCAGGAGCAGAGTCAGCAGCTATTGGGAGTAAGTCAGGGAGAGCAGGACAGTAGGGGCATGTCTATACTACAGAGTTATTTCAAAATAACTCTAGTTATTTCAAAATAACGTGAGTGTCCACACAGCAAGCCCATTATTTTGAAATTATTTTGAAATAACGGGCTTGTTATTTTGAAATAATAACCCCCCATCCTCTGAGTAATAATGCCTATTTCAAATTTGCTATTTTGAAATAGGGTTAATATAGAAGCTCAGCTGCTGTTATTTCAAAATAACTACTCCCCCGAGTCATTCAAAGTAATTACTCCCCAGTGCTTCCTGGGCCTCTAAGTCAAGATAACGTATCCACATTAAGGGAGCCTGCCTTGGACTAATTTCGAGGCTTCCCTGTAGTGTGGATGCGCTATTTCAAAATAGTTATTTCGAGAGTTATTATTTTGAAATAACCTGGTAGTATAGACTTAGCCTATGAGAAAAGGATAAGAATCAGTGGTCAATGATTTATCAATATTTGATATATTGGGCTATTCTACTGAGTTTTATGATATAGGATATGTTTTTACATAAACAGTGATGAAATATTTGTAAAACTTTACATGCTTTGCCATAACAAATGATTGTATTGGTCATAACTGTTACAGGATATTAGCATGTTTGGTTTGGGGTTCTTTTGAACAACACATTTGTCTTTTTAAAAGTGGCTTAGCTTAAGTTTTTGTGTAAAGGGTAAGGTGGATTTTTTTTAAACTGGGCCAATCATTTCTCGCTTAGGTAACTGAAAAGTGTTGCTCATAAACACCCATTTGACCAGATCTGCACATGCTCATACGTTTATTTAACTTTACTACTATGACCAGCAGCTTCACTGATTTTTCAGTGGGACTACTTGCGATAGTAAATAACAATTGTTGTTTTGCCCATAAAGTTGCACACAATTTTGCAATAGTAAAGTTAAAAAAATACTTGTATTTTGTAAAATTAGGACCTTAAAACACCATATTTGCAAGTCATAAAGAGAGAAGCAGTTTAGTAACCTTTAGTTATTTTTCACTTTTTCATTCATTTATTTTCAAGCTTTAAGGAGTTTCATTTTGAGATTTAAATTATGCAAGACCGTGGCAACATATGGCATGCTAAATATATAATGTATGTATTCTAAGTAATCATGACGTAAGTTGGTTCAGTTCATTGTCAAGCAGAAAAGTGATCACAAAATAAATTTTTAGAGTTCATTAAGTTAAATAGATTTTAATAATAATATTTTGTCAATTTGTTTTAAAACTTTGAAGGATACTGGAGGCTACCAGTAGTTCAGTAGCTCTGGACATACGTAGTGCTTCTATATTGCACTTTAAATTTTAATCTAGTTGTTGTTTTGACCTCTAACACTTAAAAAGCACTTAACTTTGTAATAAGGCAGCATGTTCAGGGGAATTATACAAGCCGTTACCTTCAGATTGTTCATCTCAATCCATCATGGGATGAGTGAGTGAAAGCTGTTACAATTTGGCAGCTGTTTGGCCTATGTGATATTTAGTCCCAATGGGCAAGTGTCTATATCAGAGGGACACAAAATGACAACCATTATGGTTATCTTGGTAGAGAACAAGTATAGAATGGATAAGAGAAATGAACTGCTTCCTCATCCACCGAAGCGGGGCGAAGGTAGATGTGCATGTCTGCTGCTGAGTTGGGAAACTCTGTATCTGGTGTGTTGATTTAAGTTTTCAGGGATGTTCATCGGGCACTTTCACGTGCACTAAATCCATGTGAGGCTAGAATAGGGCTTTCAAGGCATGAAGATTATACAGACCACAATGAAGAATGCCTACTTGTGAGAGGCTGCTACATCTCTTTTTCCTGCTACCCCCACTCAGAAAGTCTGCTGTGCTGGCCAGCCCAGAAGAGAAGTGGGAAATGGAGTTACAGCTCTGCCTACTTTGTTACCTTTTGTGATGGAACTACAGGGTTGTAAATCTAGCCAGCCTTCATGCAAGCTGCACAAGGAAATAACTTGATTCCTCCTCCCTCACATCCAACCCTGCAATCCTGTATAAGGGCCAGCCAGGATCTTGCTGTTATTTTAAAAAATCTTTTACTGAAGAAAAATTGTTCAGTTCAGCGAGAGCTCCCTTATTATAGTTTCTCATGTTAGCAATTTCTTCATGAGATCACTGGATCGTAGTTGTACATACAACAGAGAATAATACTCACCCATCTGTATACTAAAAATGGTGGGACCAACACCACCTGCCATGTATGTCAATTGTTGTTTTGCCCATAAGGTTGCACACAATTTTGCCTTTCAGTAGAATGACTGAGTTATGCTATAATCAATACCATTAGTGTTGGTACACACTGGTGGAGCAACACTACTGAGAGCAGGAAACTAGCCTCCCTTGCTTTCTGGTATTGAGCTGATGAAATAGAACAATTTTTAAAAGTTATTCCGAGATGCATTTTACTGAAGATTAATGGGTGAATATAGATTTTCCGGTTTGGAAGCAGTTCTGAGCAGAAAAGACTGGTTCAGGTTTATCTAAATCTGAAACTTTTTGGAATGCGTGACTCTCACCACATAAGTGATCACCCTAACCACTGAACTAAAAATCATCCTCCTCTCTTCTGGACATTTTGACTATTCATGCCGAACTAGAAAATAGTTTCTGGTCATCCAAAACATCAAATTACTATGTTTAAAAAAATTTACACAGATCTACTGTAATTTACTTTGGGTACAGGAACCATGTTTTCTTGTCTCATGTCAGTGTCATTCTCAGTAATAATTATTCAATAATCTCATCCTAAAGTGATTTAAGTAGACTAGTGAGATATTAACGTTTAGGCAAAAACAGAACAAAACAAACAAAAAAGCCCATACCACCACAGTAACTGGAGTAAGACTAAGCTTACAAGCCATAACAATGCAGGTAAATATACTCACAAAATGAGATGGGAAGGTATTTGTGGAGGGGCCAGTGTCCATTGTAATATCTAAAGCAAACACATATATATTTTTAAATGTGAGACATGGTGAGGAAGTAACTTAATAAGCTTCAGGAAGACTGTAAACCCAGGGTGGGCAATAATATCTGATGGGAGGCCACTCCAGGATTTTGGTAAATGGTCAAGGGCCACATTTTTCTATGGTGCGGAGTCCCAGAAGGAGTTTGGTTGAAGGAGGGGGTTGTGACCTGGAGCAGGGGTTTTGGGTGCAGGATCAGAAAGGGAGTATGAGAGCAAGAGAGGATTATGGCCTACGGGAGGGATGTAGGAGAAGGTGCAAGATCTAGAAGGGAGTTGTGACCTAGGGGAGGGAAGGTGCAGAGGGTTTCAGTGGTGACTTGAGGGTGTGGAGGGGCGGGGGGAGAAAAAAGGCAAAGACTGAAAACTAAGGACATGTCTACATGTATAGTACTGCAACTGCATCTCTGCAGTGCCTCTGGTGAAGATGTTCTATGCCATGGCTACTCCACATGCGGCCCGCAGCCTGTTTACAGCCCACAGTGTAGTTTGGGTTTACGCAGGGCTCAACACGTGGCCCATGGGTGGGATTCTTCGAACACAGCCTCCACTGAGAACATACTCCATAATGGCGAGTCAATATAATGCTCTTCTGTTGATATGTGTTTTAGTAGTTAAATTCCTGGACTGTCATTGCTCATTACAAGTGCTGTCATATGGGTGGAAATCGGGTAAATATTTCATTTTATTAATATCAACAGAACCAGCTTAAATGTGTGCTGTGTAGTCTTGCCTTAATCTTTGAATTCATGCCCATCAGTGTGAGAAAATATTGCATATATTTGCATGTACATGCAACCCACTTACGTTGCAGCCCTCGGCATGTACTGAGAGTGTCATTGTGGACCCCGGGGCTTCCAAAGTTGAGTAGCCCTGCTCTGTGCTGACGGCAGAGATCGCTCTTCCATGAGCATAATAAAACTACACCTCTGCAAGCAGCAGCTCTCCCACCAACATATCACTGTCTGCATCAGTGCTTTTGTTGGTGTAACTTATGCTGCTCAGGTGGCTTATTCAACCCCAACCCAGCAACGTAAGTTCTGCTGACATAAGTTGTTGTAAAGATGTAACCTAAGGCAGCAATTATTTAGACTACTAAGAAATCAGCAAAGGTAGCTAAGGGAGAGGAATGATTTGTTCTGCTCTGCAAAGAATTTAGAGAATGTATTGAGCAGGTGTTTAAAAACAGAATTATAAGTCAAAAAGGAGCATAACAATTCAGTAGCTGAAAATAATGTCAAGAAAAACCAAAACTGGAAATGCAATATAAATGTAACAAGGAGTAACTGAGAGATGTAAATTTTCCATCACTTGGCATCTTACAATCAAGATTTGATGTCTTTCTAAAATATGTATCTTAATTCGTATTTGTCAAACAACAAATCATGAAAGACAATCAAGAGGTTTGTGAGGCACCAAAAGTTTATTACGATCTAAAAAGCAATGAAAATCCCCTATTCATTCTCAACACATCTTTATTTTTCAAGGTCAAGTATTGGGCAGGAGCAGGCTTGGGGTCTTGGTGGTAGGGGTGAGGCGTCTGGCGGGGTGGGGGGGAGAAGGAAGGTAGGATGGCAGAGGGGATGCAGCACGGCCTGTGCTGTGGAGGTCAGGCTCGAATGGCAGAGGGGACACTGGGAAGCCCAGGGGCTTGTTAGGCTTGGATGTGGAGACGACCCACTGCAGCCTACGGGAGGGATGGGCTCGAATGGATGGGACCTCAGGGGTGGGGAAGACCCAGATGGGCTCAGATGGCAGAGGGGTTCCATTGCGACCGAGGGAGGGGTGTCAGGCTTGGATGGTAGAAGGGATCCAGCCCCAACAAGCTCCTCCCCGCAGCACAGCTCCCTGGGGTGTGAAGCAGCAGCCAGAGCTGGAGCAGTCTATGCTTGGAGGGGACGCAAATGGCCACAGAAAATGGCTAAGGATGGAGACACAGGTGGCATTAGGACACAGATGACGTGAGTCTGTTGTCCCACAGGAATTTTTTTTATATAGATAATACACATGAGGTTCATGAAAATTTGATCTCAAATAAGAGTCCCCCAACTTGAAAAAGTGAGAACAATAGTTTAACAAGTTAATAGGGTCAGTGTTACAACTACTGGTAATGCTATGGCCTATGCTATACAAGTCAGACTAGACTACCAGAATGACTGCACCTGGCTTTACAACCCATGTTAATATTGCCTATGCACAGGCTATGTGCATTAAGCAGCCCTTGTGCTACACTTATTTCCTGGAAGTATATAAATTACTTTTGTGGAGAAGGTGACAAGATTTTTAAAAATCTGTTTATAACATGGTTAGACATAATTTGTACCCATAACAAACTGCATGGTAGTTTCTTTAGCACTAATATTTTCTCCTGACATGTCATATGATAGGAAGGTTTACTACTTCCATTTTCATACTTCTACAACTGAAAATATGGGGTATTTCAACACTTTGTTTTGTTTTTAAGCTAGGCTAAAACTACTGAAGTTATGTTGTATACACCTAAGATGCAGTCTTCATTTTTATAAAAATTCATTTCAATTTATTAAATGTATTACATCATTTATATTTGGTGTTTTAAATATACCTAATTACAAATATCTTAGTTAATATTGTTTATAAAAATAAAAAAGTAAACATCTTTTGTTTTGATAAGTATATATTGATTACATTGTGTATCCAGGAAGTTTGTTTACCACTAGTTCGCTGATGTGCTTATATTGATTAGGAATACTCAATGTCCCAAAGTCATCATCCTCTTCCTTGTCTGATATACTGTTTTCCACACCACTAAGTTCAAGATCAGACATATTGGATGGCAAGTAAGAGCTAACTTGAGATGTCCTCAGAGACAGGCTTTTTTCCAAAGAGGTTTGGTCCTTCACACTATTAAAAGCAGAATTAGTTTGCTTATTCTTCACCTCAGAGGGCTGGATAATTTGGTCAATACTGCTATCTTCTTCCTTGGTGTATGGCGCTAACTCCTGGTTATCTAATGAACCTGCAAGTGAGGAGTCACTAATGGATATACTGACAGCTGTACTCTTTTTTGCTTTTAAATCATAGGGTTTTTTAAGAGAGTGGACTGGAGATGCAGTTGAAGGAACTGGTAGAGGAGCTGAAATACTTTCAGTTCTCAGACTTTTTCCAGAAATTCTGGACTCCTTGGATTCTGACTCCATGTCTGATAGAGCTTGCTTTGGACTTACCAGAGCAGGTTCTGGGCTGCTATCAAGAGTTTCTGAGTCTCTATCAGTATAGTCAGCACTGGTGAAATCTTCTGAATAGCCTGCATTTTCAGGGCTGCCAAGAAAATCCTCTGAATACTTGAGTTCGGGGTTACTTTCAAAGCTGTTTGGGCCTGACTCAGGTTCTAATGTGGAAGCATTATAGTCATTCCTGACTTTGTCATGAATGAAGTGTACTGTTTCCTCATCTATTGTGTTTCTTTTTGCATCAGTATCCTGTGTGGAAGCTCTTGGTAGGTGGACTTCCACTTCCTTTTCTTTGTAAGCATTTTTAATTGTAGTTCCTTCCAGTGAAGAGTTTGTACTCACTTCACATGGATTCTTTTCCTTTGCATTTTCCTCATGATTGCTCAGTCCATTGTGAGCAGCATGTTTTTGTAGGTCAGAAATATCTTCCTTTATAATGGTAGAGTATTTTTTTTCAATACTACTTTGCATTAAAGTTTCAATGTTTTCATCAAGTTGAGTATTTTGTTCTAAAATTCCTCCCCTGGCAGGATGCCTATTAGACATCAGGTGCTGTTCAGCAGAGTTTCTGAATAAATTTCCTTTGGACAAAGAGCCTTTGCCTTTCTTCTCTTTCAGTATCTCTAGTTGCCTTTTTCTATACTGTTCTCTGCGTTCATGAAGTATTAACATATCTGGATTGGTCTGCTGTAATCGTAATCTTAGTGTATTTGTCAGACCATAAAAGAGTTTCTTTCTTTTGGGTGTGTTTTCTTTGATTTCACTCTTTTTTTCAAAACCACTGTTTCTCGATACTGCAGCTTTCTTGGTTCCTTTCCCAGCCCCAGACTCTCGCAAGGAAGAACCACCAAACTTAGAAAACTCTTGCTGGCTTCTTTTGAATTTTTCACTGGGCTCAGGAAGAGTTTCCTTATCTTTCCCATCTGGCCCTCTGCTTTTAGTAAGAGTATTTGAGGGCTTGATGTTTTCTTCTGCCTCTCGATACAGCCAGGCCAGCTGAGGGTGAACAGTAGAAGGTCCACGCTGCAGGGGCTGATTGTTCAGCACGGGCAAAGCCCTGAGCAGAGGCAGCTCTCTGAGTGCTTCTCTGAGCTGCTGGGCACTGCCCCCTGACTGGGCGAAGGAACCTGCAGCTTGACCTATGTCTGGACAAGTTTCCTGCAGTGGTGCTGGTGGTACACTTGGGATCTGCTCCTGGGGGACTGGAGACTGGGCAACTGCCACCATCTGAGGGGCCCGGACTGGTCTGGGCTCTGCAGGCAGGTGGCTGTAGTACAAGGGGGGAGGACAGAAGACATTGGCTTCCATCTCCAGCTCCCTCACCTCCTCCCCACTGGACAGAGAGGTCTGGCGGGCAGGCAAAGAGGCTTGTCCACTGTGCTCAGAATCTAGCTCCTCAACCTGCTCCCTGCCCTCAGGCTCTCTCTGGCCTCCGACTGACATGGGGGGCCCAGCCCCCTGCTCCACCGGGCCCCCCTGTGGGCTGGACCCGCTCTCGCGCTGGGCATCAGGAGAACAGGTGGGGCTGGGCGGCTGCGCTCCCCCAGCCACGCCCGGCCCTGCAGGCAGGTGCCCCAGCAAGGCCGGCCCCAGGCTACTGAGGCGATAGCCCAGGGCCAGCTCCCCCACCGGCTCCCCCATGAGGTCCCGCAGCGGGTAGCGGCCCCTTTGGCCCCGCGAGCCGGGCCCCCGCAGCAGCTCCTCGGCGGCCGTGGCCAGGGGGACGCAGCAGCTGCCCAGCAGCCGGGCCGGGCCGGGCTCCCCCGGGGGCAGCGCCAGCAGCAGCGCGTAGAGCGGGGCGCGGCGGAGCAAGCCGCGCAGGGCGCCCGGGGCCAGGCGGAAGAGGCAGGACTTGCCCCGGCCGAAGGGCACGAGCCGCCCCGGCGGGCAGCCCGGCTCGGGCGGGCGCACCAGCAGGGTGGGGAAATCCAGCAGCCGCAGCGCCACGGCCGCGCGCAGGGGGCCGCGCGGGGGCAGCAGCCGGGGCTCCACCCGCACCCACTCCACCAGCAGCTCCAGCGAGAACAGGCCCTCGCGCTCGCGCGCGCCGCCCTCCTCCGCCATCGCCCAGGGGGGGCCCGGTGGGGGCAAGGGAGACGGAGTCGTTTGGAAGTTGGAGCTGAGTTAGGTCTCGCGAGAACGAGTGAGCGGTGATGGGGGATGCTGTTGGTGAATTATCCCGGGGGGGGGGGTTAAATTAAGTTCTCGCGAGAGGCTCATGGAGAGCGTATGGGAGCTACCTAGGAAGCTATCGCGAGTTAATCAGTGAGGACCCGGAATACCGCGCAAAGGCCCTTGGGAGTTGTAGTCCGTGCTCTGGTGCTGGGCGGGCGCCTCTCTGAGAGGTGAAAGTAAGTTCAGTATCTTGCAGGCACAGGGCAGGGGTTGCGGGTGCAGGAACGTGCGGGAGTGGGGGCTCAGGGGTGGGGTATGTGTGGATGCTCAGGGCAGGGGACAATGGTGCTATGGGGGGGGGGGGGGCAGTTCAAACACCCGCCCCCCTCCACTCCAGGATTTTTATTTTTAGGCGGCTGCTTGCTCGTGCTGTTCCCTTTCGACAGTGGCAGGGGGAAGCTCGCCACGTGGGTTACTCTCTCCTCTGCCTTCTCCCCTCCCTTCCTTAGCCGGGAGGGGAATGCGCACGTGCTGTCTGCTTTGCTCTCGCAGCTTGAGGGGAAGGGCAGCAGTAAGCAGCGTCCTCATACAAATCTTGGAAGATGGGGGGAGGAGCGGGTCAGGCCCCCCCTAGCCCTATCTAAATGGCACTCGGGGGAGGGGGGGACTTGGGGCTGGGTGATTCCTGGTCCACTGGGCGAGCACACCCTCAGCTGGCCTCTTTAACCTGCCTGAATGCTGCTTAGCAGGCAGCCCAGCTGGGAGTGTTCCACACCTTCTGCAGCCCACTGCCCCAGCCTGCCGGTTCTTTCTTGCGAGGATGGTGCACCGGGGGCACGCCAGCTTGCTTTCACTGCTGGAGCCTCTTAGTGTGGACACTGCAGCAGCAAGGAGCCCACCACCTGCATCTGTTTGCCTGGCTGCTATTGCTGACTGCAAAACTAGATCTTCAGGGAAGGGCAAGCAAGGCAGGGCTGGGGCTGTCAGGCCCTAAGTCCCTAGGGGTAACGCCGAGACCTGGAGTGACACATGCCCATCCACAGTCACTGCACGTGCTCCAGGGCATACCTTATCACTGCTTCCCTGAGTGCTGCGTGGCCCTAACAATGCAGGAGAAATCTGACCAAGGGGGACACCTGTTGCTCAGATACAGGTTTTGCAAATCTCTATGTGGCACTCCTGGTGAACAGCAAACGTTATTATACCAGCTGTAAATGCCTTATATTCATGTCTGACATATTCAGCCCTCTAATAACAGAGCACTATGTACACACCATGACAAATACCAGACATAATTCTCTTCTCGTGATCATATAAATTAGAAGCAACTGTAAGTTACTTGAGCTGTATCAGAGTGAAAACTTCTAGCCAGAGCATTATGTGCCTTTCCATCTTTTTCATCTCCCTCCCCCTTTAAAAACAGTTTCATTGCCACTGACAGGGAAAAAAATGCTGTCAAGGAGGCACTTACATTTTGAAGACCATTTTATTCAATTAAAATCACTATAAAATAATATGACCTAGATTGATGGCATTCAATTAAAGTTACAGAATACTTTTAGCATTTACCAGCAGGGAGCTAGCTAATGGAAAAGAAAACAAATTCCTCCCTTCCTTTGTTCTATTCTATTCCTTCCTTTCTCTTTCCTTCCTTTGCCAACAATCACAGTCGCCCATCTGAAAATTCGAGGCAGGATATTGACCTTCCACTTAGCCAGCATTGTAGACTAGAATCACCATCCTTTCAGGATCCAACTCTTAATTTCCAGCCACTACACCTGATCTTCACTAGATATTTTGCCTGAATAAAGAGTTACAGATTTGATAATGTATTTGTGACCAGGGATTGAATGGGAAATATTTAATGGGCAACACAGAAGTCCTTTTCGCTTCTATTGCTCCCTCCATTGTAAATATATTTGCAAAGTGTTAAAAGAAAAGGAGTATTAAAGCTACAAAAAATCTGCAGCTCAAGTCTGCTAATATTCTGTTAATACCATTGATCAAATATAATCTTTGAGAAAAAACAAATTGGCAATCTGTCCACCCCTTTATATGGAGGAAGTAAAAATACTTAGCAATATACGAATAACCCTCAGAATACCCTGAGGGGGAAACATGGGTAAGTATCTGCATTTTACAGGTGGGCAAATGGACACTGAGGTTTAGTCCTAAATTTTCAGAAGTCTCCAATAATCTTGAAATGTCCAACCTGGGAATCTGAGGCCAAATTAATCTTGTGTAACTCCACTGAGGTTAGTCATTAAACCGTAGATTAATTTGGCTTCTGTTGCCTGATTTTCAGATTCTGAGCACCCATTGCTCCTATTGATTTCCCTGGAATTCACCTAGGTTCAGCATCTCTGAAAATCAGTTCCAGTGTGTTTCAGGATGGAACCTAAATATCAAAGCACACAAAATGAGTGGATACTTCTGAAAATATAGATTCTGGTGATATGGCCACGGTCAGATTGTTAGTCAGTAGTAGAATAAGGATTGGAACAGTGTAGGGGGATTTTAATGGCTCCCAATCCCAGTAACATGCCGCCTCTCTTTGAAATCCATGTTACAAGATTCTTGTATTTACACCTAGAAAATTGACCCAGCATTGTTCGGATCCTTAACTTAAATAAGTTTTGTTTACTTTGATTTCTTTGATTTTAAATCATTGTTCTGGCATGGGGCTGAGAATGAGGGCTTCAGTATGCAGGCTGCCCCAGGAAGAGAGGACAGCCCCAGCCCTCTCTCATCACAGCAATTTGGGGCCAGGTGAGAAGTGTCTGTCCATGGCACCTTCAGCTGCACCGGTCACAACTGAGGGAGGGGTGCATGTCCACTGATTGGGGGGCGCACAGACACACAGTCAAGCAGACACACAAACAGACACATTTTCTGAAATATATAGTAGATAGCCGTTCCTTTCCCCATCCCTGCTGGCCCAATGGAATTATAGTTGTCCTAGCCCTCATCTCTGACCCCTTGCTGCCGCACTGTGGTCATTCTAGAGTATAGCTGTCCCTCCTACCAGATCCTTTCCATGTTATGAGAAACAATCAAATTCCAGGCTCCCATTGTCCTGGCACAACCAACCCCTGAGCTTGCTTTAAGTTATGATAAAAGGGAGCTGCATTTCAAATTTGGGGTTCCTGGCTCTTACCATGTAGGAGTTCTCTAACAAATGGACTCACGGATGGACAGACAAACTTACATTTCTCAAATATACAGTAAGAATTGGGGAAAAATGATACACTTCTGTCGCACACTTCATGATTTCTAATGAGCAACGTTAGAGGAAGACATGGTATTACTTGTTTCAGGTACTATAGAGAAGCATTCTGCAACAAAGTATTTAAGAAAAAAATCAGACTGCAAGGATACAGGATTCTGGAATCCAGCAGTATTGTAAATGATGATACATAGGTTACAGGGCAGTGTTTTACACACTCCACCCCTCCCCTCCCTCATTCACATGGATGAAAATAGTTCAAGTAAGATCTAGCCAAATCAGATGGCAGACAGAACAACATAAGAAATTAAACCACACTTCAGTCAGATTTATTTTTTTCCCTCTGAAATTAGCACTTTCATCCATCGGTTTCTTTCTTGGGTATCTCAGATCACTATACTTGACTTCAAATAGACTAATTTCTGGAGAGTAGAGAAAAAAATCCAGATATGCTAGATAGGTTTTCATAGAGTGTTTTGGATGTGGGTTTTTTCAAATCCTGAAGAAAGGCGTTTGTGGATTCCAGAGAAGAACTGCTCCTTTAGCAATGCCAAATCCACGTTCAGGAAGGCAAAAGGCAACCAAATAATATGTCATGTTAGGGTGGCAATTCTAGCCTATAGTACTGGCTAAGTGGAAGATCAGTCTTTTTCATCTATTTTTGCCTCTTTTCATCCATTAAGCAGTTTTTTATCTTCTGACTGGAGTAGTCTATCAGTTATCCTTGTAGTTGTTCCTCATTTCTTAGTACCATATTTTCCGGCGTATTATAAGGCGACTGGGCGTATAAGACGACCCCCTAATTTTCTAGTTAAAAGATAGGTTTTCGTCTTATACTCGCCGTATAAGATTACCCCCCTTAAGAGGCCAACCGGCAGCGCCCCAGTGCCCCTCCACCTCCCCGGCTTTGCTCCCGTTGTCCCTGGTCTGCTGGAGACGGTCCCCAGCAGACCAGGGACACCGGGAGCAAAGCCGGGGAGGCGGAGGGGTCCCGCGCCTCTGAGGCTTTGCTCTGGCCTGAAGAAAGACCTGAAGACCTATCGTATTTTCCGGCGTATAAGACGACTTTTTATGCCAAAAAACATCCCCCAAAAATCGGGGGTCGTCTTATATGCTGGGGCTTTTCTCGCCCCGGAGGACACAGACTGCGGGACCTCGCGGTCCCGCCGCCCGTGTACTCCGGGGCGAGAAAGGCTGCTCCGCGTCTCCCTGGTCTGCAGCCCGATTTTTGGGGGATGTTTTTTAGCATAAAAAGTCGTCTTATACGCCGGAAAATACGGTAGGTCTTCAGGTCTTTCTGGGTTATTAACCTTTCTTTCCCAGGAACTGCATCTTAGACAACTAGCTCCTCTAGCCAGAAACTCAGCAGCTTTTGGTTCAAATAATTCTTTAAAGGATACAGGGAAAAAGTTAAAGTTCCTCTTCAAAGAGAGCAATGTAAGTCTTTAGATTTGTTGACCTGCAGCAAGTGATTGATTCTTTGGTCAGACACCACTTTATGAGTGAAAGGAACTAATATTTGGAAAGACATCCTGGAAGAAATTGAATTACATGATCCTACAAATAGAAGATGCTTATTTTGGTGACCAACTCAATTTTACAAAATTTTCTAAACATGAGAGTCTGTGGCAATTTATTCTCTTTCCATAATCTCTTCTTTTATTAAATATAAAATAATCTTTCCAATCTTGGGCATAAATAATGGCATTTGGAATGTGTGCAAGTACTTTGGTTGGCATCATTCTTATTCAGAATGAGGTCAGTCAATCTGTTGGAATATACAATTGTAACAATAAGAGCGA